CGCTACCTCCAAGAGTAGTTAGTACTTTAATCAAGGCTAATAAACTCTTCGGTTTACATTCAAAACTGATTTTTATTTATTTTTTTTGCAGCAAAGCCGCCTAAGTCTCAATGTTTAGATTTTCCTAAATATATATAGTAAAATCTAAATACATGTATAATGACTGGCTACCTAGTCACATACTGTATTCTTGTTTGGGTGCAGTCACACCATGCCCATCTCGTGTGACACACACAACCTGTTACCAGGTACATGTAACCCAGTTACAGTGTGTGTACACGGACGTGCAATACTCGTCACAGCTTTGATAACATCCAGAAATGTTTGCTTCTATCACAGTACTCGACTTTCACTGATGCTATGATGGTGGAAGGTAATGTCTGTGACCTGATCGGGCTAAGTGATTTGCTCCAATTGGTTAGAGCTTGTGGCGCTCAGTCGATTGAATACTCTCTCAATCTCTTAAGGCTATTAGCACAACTGGCTGAACGGTTCCGTCCTGAATCGTCTGCCCGGACCAAAGGCTGATGCACCGTATGGTGGAATTAAGCGTTTTAGACAAAGTCCAATTGAGTCGCCACCGGCCTAAAACGAAGCAGCCCTTGATAGATGTGAAAACGAGCTGGCTAATGAGACCTCGGACTGCTCATCAACGCGGACGTCCACAGAAACTAATGGAGCCGCTCGCGAGATAAACCCTTTCAGTCTCTCAATCCGATCATTTACGCAAGCTACTGGTCGAGCAAATATTCAGGGCAACACCATTTGCTCGGCTCAAATATTACTTTTTAGCTGACTGCTTCTCGGTAAAATTGTGCGGGCTCCCACTTCAGTCTTAATGAAGCGAAGATATAACGATTGGCTAGATTGCGGTGTCTGGTTATGTACATAGTTCAAGCGAGCACGCTTATTTCATGGAAGCACGTAAATGAAAGGCATGTCGTTCCGCTCGGCCGCTATTACTTGTTCTTCCGGATGGCGATATCGCCAATTAAAAAATGCAGCCCCATGTGACCTAGAGGCCGCTGTGACGGTGAGACCTGGCACTTACTAGAACTGATCGGAATTGTTTCATCAGATGATCGCGTCTGCTGTATACAACGAGACAACGACCGCTATATTGACAAACATTTTTTTGTTTGATAAGACAACATCGTCATCATTTAGACTTTAGGCGCGTACACATGGTTTCCCGGTCGCGCCTCCAAACTCGTGCACTTCAGTGGCTGATTAATGGTATCTCGAATTGGTGCCCACGGTGGCGGCTCTTGACTCTTTATTTGACTCCACGTTGTTGTGAAGTTGACTCATTATAAATTGGGCCGTCACCTTCGTGGAATGCTGAATCCAAATTTATCGTTGGGGGCTTATAAGCGAAAAGGAATTGAAACAATACTCGACTACATTGTTGTCACGGTCTGGAAATTCGCCATGCTACCTACAACTCACTACAATGAGATATGCAAATTATGGTTTCAAAACGTAAATGGGGCGTTCACTCTTCTCGATAAATATCTATCGATTAAGTGGAATTTCCGTGGACAGTTTTACGTAAGTACGAACGGAGTTTAGTAGAACGATTGGAAGTTTGTCGAGCAATTATCCTCTCGCTTTCATATATTTGCAATCTAAGAGACCAAGTTTCGCGATTCTCACCGCCTATCCAGTCTTCAATATGATTATACATCCACTTCGTGTAACGGGGTTACACGTATTGCAGTAGACTTCCGTAGCTCGTTGCTTAGAGGAAGCTAAGCAAGAACCGGTGCGAGTGTAGCGAATCGCAATACGCTACCCCCAGAGTACTTTAAAACCTTAATTGAAGCAAATACGCTCATTCGCTCAGAATGAAAACTGTATTTAATTGTTTTAGTTGCTGCAAAGCCGCCTGTACTAAAACCTTATGTTTTCCAAATTAATCTAGTATGCATTACTATTTTCAGTCCTGCCACGTAGTGGCTTCTCGTTACGAAGTAGCTACACCGTTGTGTGATTTTACCAACTTGTGTAATCCACACCTATGTACAGTCACACCATCTTGTGTGACCCGCCCTTTCATACAAGGGTACATGCAACCCCGTTACACTCCCCATCAAAATTGTGAATACCCACGATTTGCACTTAACTGTCGCCTATACGAGGCTGGTGCATCTGGTCAACAACTTGAACATGACGGTGGAGATTCCAAATCAAAACCATGTGATGCATTAGGGTATAGAGTTGTAACAGGATATGAAGTGTAATATCGTGTGTGTCTGTCGTAAGATGTACTAATGAACACGATGATGAGAGGTCCGCGGGACATATGGGCTGTTAGCATTAGGTAGCACAATGGAATCATTGTTGAGCGCAGTAAATTTGACATATTTATTTTTAAAATCAATTTGGACTAATTCTGGATATATAACACTCTTCCCGTTGAAGAACTTTCTCTAAAGGCTCTTTGTTCCGCTTTTGTGGTGAGCGGGCGAGCCCATCACTTGTACGTCAGTTAACAAACGGACCCGTTTGGTCAAAGCAACTAACTTTCTTTATGCAATGAGCAGCACAGAATTATGCATAAGTCAAAGAGACTAAGACGGTATAATTTGTGGCAATGGAGAACGATTTGTCCGAAAACCTTTTGTTGGAAAGACCTGACACGCTTTGTAAGGTCATGTCATCGAATTGGTCGGAAAACTGGCGGACAAAGGTCCACAAGCGGTTATCCCTCACTTGTAGGCGACCAGCCTTTATGAAAACATACTAATCGGAAATTTCCAGATGCACATCAATGAGACGATACAAGCAAAATTGGCTCCCGCGGTGTGGCCACTAATGTTGAGCGTCCAGCTCTTTTTGGACGAGGACGAATTAAAGCGTTTTAAGATGACGAACTTTTTGGGAGTCCGAACATCTCAGTGGTTAGGTCGCGAGTTTTACACGCTCGGGATCGAGGGTTCGATCCCCTCCTCTGATATCGCTCAATTTGTCTGACAAGCCGCACCT